CAACAGTTGGTTCGACGATGAATGTGAAGATATCACTAAAAGAAAAAATTATGCATATAAACTTATGCAACAAAGAAGAACACGGGATAAGGAGCAAATGTACAAAGATCTTAGGAAGGAGGAAAAACGCATGCATCGAAGGAAAAAGCGGACCTTCGAAAACCAGATTATGCAAGAGCTTCAATCATTAAAGGGGCAAAATGAAACTAGAAAGTTCTATAATATCCTAAATAAGACAAGAAAAGAATTTAAACCACGGCTGACGATGTGTAGAGACAAAAATGGACATATAGTCAGTACCGCTGACGCAGTACAAAGCAGATGGGTTGAGCACTTCAAAGAACTACTTGGTACCGAAGTGGAAAATGATGCGTCACCCCAAAGACCAAGAAATAACACTCACGTAGAACCTCCTTCAATATTTGAAGTGAAAGACGCAATCACACGACTCAAAAATAGCAAGTCCCCAGGAGTGGATTGTATCCCCGCAGAGCTCATCAAACATGGAGGTAACAGCATTATGCACCAAATTCACAACATAATAGTCAAAGTCTGGGAAGAAGAACAAATGCCAGAGGAATGGTGCACTGGAATCATATGTCCACTACACAAAAAGGGAGATTTGTTGGAATGTAAAAATTATAGGGGTATAACTCTTCTGAATACAATGTACAAAATATTCTCCAACACCCTGTACAGCCGTTTAAGTACGTACGTGGAAGAAATCCTTGGTGAGTATCAAAGCGGTTTTAGGCCAGGTAGGTCAACAATTGACCAGATTTTTGTGCTACGTCAAATCTTAGAAAAAACCAATGAATTTAATATTGACACGTTCCATCTCTTTGTGGACTTTAAGTCAGCGTATGATAGCGTCCTAAGAGGTAAATTATACGAAGCCATGAATGAACTTAACATTCCCCATAAATTAATAAGGCTCGTAAAAACAACTATGAGTAAAGTGATCTGCAGAGTGCAAATACAAGGCGATATGTCACAAGCGTTTGAAACATATGCAGGGTTACGGCAGGGAGACGCGCTGGCGTGCCTTCTCTTTAATATAGCGTTAGAAAAGACTATAAGAGATGCTGAGTTACACAATAGGGGAACAATCTTTAATAAATCAACGCAGATTATGGCGTACGCTGACGATTTGGATTTGATTGCACGTACTACACGAGGACTTAAAGAGATGACTTCCACCTTCTTGACAGCCGCATAAAACATGGGCCTTAAAATAAACGAGGAAAAAACCAAAATGCTAGCATCTATTCCAAATAACAGAGATAGAGCTAGAAACGCCGAACAAAACTTCAGTATAGACCAATATAATTTTGAGGTAGTAAATAAGTTTACATATTTGGGTTCTCTCATAACAAACGATAATGACACATCTGAAGAAGTTAAACGGAGGGTACTGCTAGCAAACAAATGTTATTTTGGACTAAGCAAGCAGCTAAAAAACAGAAACTTAAGCCAGAAAACCAAACTAATAATATATCGAACACTCATCCTACCAGTGCTGACATATGGGTCAGAAACATGGACCATCTCCAAAACAGACGCAAATCTTCTGCTCGTCTTCGAAAGGAACATACTAAGAAGAATAATGGGCGCATTCTGTGAGAATGGTATTTGGAGAAGGCGATATAATTTCGAATTGTACGAGAAATATAAAAAAATAGTAAATGGTAGAGATGTAATATCCTTCATAAAAATAGGCAGGCTTAGATGGGCTGGACATGTGTCAAGAGCAAATGAAAATTACCCACCCAGACGAACTCTATTATCGGTCCCAGTGGGAAATAGGAGTAGAGGCAGACCACGACTGAGATGGAGGGACGGTGTGGACGAGGACGCAAGGAAAATCGGCGCGGCAAATTGGCAACGGTTGGCGATGAACAGAAACGACTGGCGAAATAGACTGGGGAAGGTCAAGGCTCAACTAGAGCTGTAGCACCACTGATGATGATGATGATAATGATATTAGCGGTAAAACAATGTATTACAACTAGTGATTTTGTTCGTCCCATACGACGAGAGATGAGTTTGTTTAATCATTTAATTTTTAAAATTTGGTAAATATTATATGGAATTTATTTATCATTAACATTTTCCGTGTAATTTTGTATTTATGTTTATTAACTTCATTTTGATTATCATTATATTTAATTTTATTTTCTTTAGTTTTATTGAATTTTGTTTAATATTATTTAGTTTTAATTAATCTTATTTCATTTTGATAATTTTATATTATTTTGTTTAATATTATTTATTGTTATTTCTTTATTTGATTTAATGCAATTTTCTTTAATTTTATTTATTTATTTTTAAATTTCAGTTAATTTTATTTAATTTTAATTAATTTTATTTTATTTTACTTAATGTTTATTTTGGTAAAACGTGGACGTTTGTTAAACGTCATTTTATGTTTGTAATAAGTGTATAATGTAAATGTATGTATAGTTTACTATACAATTACAGTAAGGTATATTTTTAGCAATTTTGCGAAAAAATTAATTACTGATAAGGATATTTGAATCATCAATTAGTAGAATAAATTAGTAATTAATAAACCGTATCGTTTCAAGAAGAAAATATGATTGAAATGTCAGATGTTGGTAGTTCGGATTTCTTTCCTAAGTGGCATAGTTACCCTACCGTACAAACAGTGTGACTTGTCGTTCTAACCTTTTACATAGATAGGATAGATGATATAATATTACAGACACAATATAACTTAGATATGGTACAGTGTGTAAAAGCTGGATTTATAGTTTGACGGAGTGTAGAAGTACTGGAGACGTAACAAACGGACTGTAAATATTATGTCAATTTATAAATCGACGGAGTGGAGTTTTTGCGCATGAGTAGAAACAGTTGCTAGAGTTGTTGACCATAATGCTATGATATTCTTTTATTATTTATTATTATTTTTTTTATTATAAATTATTAACTTACCGTCTATTGTAACAAATAATTAACAAAATAAAATTCGAATATGTTGAGAAACAACTTTACAAACTGGGGGGAGGGCTGGACAGTTTACTTTGGTTGACAGCACAAAATTCTTGCTTTTGATTGGCCAGACGCAAGTAAGGCACTGTAAAAGATGAAAGTTGCCCAACTCTTTACGTTTCACAGTCCGTTTCACTTACGTTCCGTCATGCGTGTACGTTCATATATTAATAACAGTACACAAAATTCTATGTCACAAAATTATTGCTCTGTAATTGCTTATGGACGAGGTTATATTTTAGCCGTTCTACGAAGTAGGTATGTGGTTATACTCCATTAAAACATGTTTTGTTGATATCGACACTTCACAAATTTCAGATTAAGGTTGATGTTCTTTGGTGGATTAGATGTTATATATTATCCTGCTGTGGACAAGTCTGAGTCTTTTCAATTTTACCTCGGAGAATTTCCTTCTTCTTCTTCTTTTTATGTAGACATGACTATTTCTGTTTTTTAACGTGCCTCCAGTAAGTTGCCGTTCCATCATTTTCGTGGTGTTCCTACTCATAGTTTTCCTATTGGAGAACCATCCCTTGCCCTCCTTACTACTCTATTTGTTGTCATTAGGTTTAGGTGATCGTTCCATTCTTCCTTTTAACTAAATATGCAGGTAAATACAATTTAAACTATTTTTTTTAATAAATAAAATAAAGAATTGGACCGAATTTAAAAATGTAAAGACTAATGTATATGAAATTTCAAGTGCTTCAAACAATATCCCATTTGAACTCCATTGTCATTAGAAAATCTCGGTGTGGTTTTTTACGTACCTCTGACTGGGGATTATGAACGTGAGGACTGGGTGGATTGAGTAGCACAGAAGCCGCGTTCAAGTCCGGATAAAAGAGGAGGGTTGATAGGCCAGGTTAGCATCCTACCCAATGTAAAAGAAAACAAAGAACCGATATAAAGCCTCGGAATCAAACGAACCTAAGATAACGAACCACGCAAAGAAAAGGAAAACAAGAAGGAAAAATAAGCCCACAATCAGATTAACAACATGGAACATTATTTCTTTTAAGAACAAAGACCAAGAGATAATAAAAACATAGATATTTGTGCAATTCAAGAAACCAAGAAGAAAGGTAAAGGCCAAAAAGACTGTACCCAATATTTTCTAGCATACAGTGGAGTGAAGAAAGAAGAACAAACACGAGCGGGCGTAGGTATACTTGTCCATAAAAAGACAACATAAATAACTGCCGTTATATCTCCGAAAGAATAATACATATGAACATCACAATGAACTACGAAAAATTAAATGTCATATCCATCTATAGCCCCGAGGACTGCAAACCTAAGGAGGAACGAGAGGCATTCTACGAACAATTACAAACCATCCTGGATGAAATGCATCATGAAGGACCCTTAACTCTTATGGGTGACTTTAATGCACGGATCGGAAATGAAATAGCTCCAGGAGTAAAACAAAAGATTTAATGAAAACCATGTCAATGCAAATGGAGAACTCATGGCTAATCTCTGTGCTTTTAACGAACTGAGAATCAATAATACATTTTTTGACCATAAGCTCCAGTATAAATATATATTTGAAAAGGGGCACAAATCTGTTATTGACTTTATAGTCACTAATAGAAAAAATCGCCCAAAGCAGATTTTAAATATCCGAATCTTAAACTCAGCAGACACAGCAAGTGAACATAAACTAGTACTAGCAAAAATAAGAATGAAAATAACACCAAAACATTTTCGACAGGAAATCACCGAGGAAAAATTGAATGAAGAATCATTGCGGAACGACTCACCAAGGGGTATTTGAAATCTATAACCGCTCATAATTATTTAGGGGGCTATATTATCAAAAAATATAATCAAAAACAATATTTCGTTGATATTTTGCAATTTTTAATAAAAATATATAAAAAATACCGTTTTAGTATTTTTACAATAATAAGTACAATTTTACAAAAATAAGTAATTTTTTTTAAGTTGAAAATATTGAAGATATTTAAACACACAAATGTTTATTCGGAGTCAGTGTAATCTGATTCAATGATAATATCAGAATCCTCTTCATCGTCATCATCTTCGACTGTATTGTCGTCCAAACTGTTTGGATTCGGTGTTGCTGTAATTAAAATTGCCTTTGCTTCATCCGAAAATGGCAAGATTTTCTGCTTATTTTTTAACCGACTACAACTGATTAAAGGATCAGATGTCAGAAGTAATCTATTTAAAACATCTCTGTTACAATCAATTCTTGAAAATTTTCGTGAAAAGTCCACCCGATATTTTCGAAAATGCTTATTACGTGCTTCAGCGGCCTCCTCGGACAATTGCCTTATTGGCAGAATTGCCTGTTGGATCACCTGCACCTGGATCACCTGCACCTGCACACCACCCAATGTATTAGAATTTTATGAACTGTAGGGGACATTGGATGCCAACCGTACAATTTGACATATAGTTGGGCAGTATCTGGGGCATAATTTTCAAATTTTTGGTGATCAATCTCATGACCACTTAATAATACCTCAAGAATCACTTTAAACCTGTTAATTAATTCTCTGTTGAGGCCTGTGATGCGAGAAGAGCATTCTGTGTTTTGAAAAAACCTCCTAGACGTATTTCCATCATTACTATTTCCATAGCCTGCTTTAGGTATATCCACGAGTAGACCCATTTCAGCTCTAAAACATTTCTGAACTTTCTCCTTTGTTTCCTTAATAATTTTTTTGTCTTCTGGTGTACGGGCCTGCCACTTTTTTATGGGTTCTTTATATGCTAAATGTAATATCAATTCGAAAAAGCGTATTCTGGCATGGAGTACTGAGAGCCCAAACTGTAAAGATTCTTTTTTAATGGCATCTTTTACTAATTTATTAAAATCTTTTGATGTCTGACCACATGATATAACATCGCATAGTTGATGCAGTGTCCGTTGCGGAGCTGCAAACCTTTCCGTCCACCATTGTCAGCAAAATTGTCACTGATTTTCACTGATGTTGCACTGTCTTTAGTCTCTATCAGATATTTTGCCTGATTTTCGATGTATTCTATTTCTTCTTTAGTGACAACTTTCGTTTCGTGGACAAATAGAGCTCTGATAGGTCTGTAAAATCTCACCGAAGAAGGAGTAGGATTCTGCCAAATGATTTTTATTGCTTTGCCATCAATAGAAACAACCAACCTCACTGGAACAATCGAGCTCATAAATATATTTGAATCATCATCTGCGACATTTTTAAATTTTTGCTTAAATTGAGTTTGGTGAGACCCATCACATCCCCATTTTGATATTAAAAGTAGGTGTTGCTTTTCAGTATCATTTAATGTATCTAAGACTTCTTTTAAATATTGGATAAAGCGCAAAGCCGTATGATCCAGCAAAGCTTTTAGTTCAACATTAAAAATGGTCTCCGTAACAGTTATTTTGTCTTCATCTGGGTAGCACTCTTTATTTACCTTTTGCAGCAACGAGTAACAAGGGTAGATGTACTTCCGTTCGATTTGTAATAAGGTCCACTGGTTTCTCGTGAAGTTACCTTCTACAAATAACGATAACACTTCCTGTGGGGTATATTTCATCTCCACGTGGTCTTTTTTAGACGAAATTATCTTTCTGATCTTCTTGGCTTTCGTCGGTGTTGAAGTTATTTCTTTAATCATCTTTGAAGCATGTTTATTCCCGAAAGTACCCTGACTTACACGCTCAGCGAAAATCAACTCCTCGACAGGTACGCAAGCCCGTATTTCTTCAGTTCTCCGCCGCTTGCTCCTTTCACTTAATTCATGGAACTGTTTAACTGGACGACCGGGCTTCAGTGATGACCACGAAAGAAGTTCTAATGATGTTTTAAGCCATTCTTCATTATGTTTTAGAAATCGTTCATCAGTATTACGAGCTGCCGCCCATTTCTGCTTAAAACTTGCATTAAAATACTTAAGAGAACGAGATAACATATTCCTTTCTTCCCTTGGACATGACGTCATCTGAGCAAGTCTATCTTCCAATAGGGTAAATTTTTCGTCAATTTTATTTCCTTTGAATTCCCTTAGGATATCATATAGTTCTCGTCTGGTGATAGCTTTTACCTTTTCGGAAGTATCTGAAAAACAAATTATTAGGATTTATTATAAAAATATATTTTTTTAATTGCACTTATAAACTGTAAAAATAAAATAAAAAGATGGGGTGCATTGGGGTGAGATTTTATTACTGTTTCGGTTAGGCAAATATTCAAACTTTATTATCGTAACTTAAATGTAGTGCGACAAAGCGCGACACAAACAAAAACACTAATGTATTAAAATTTTAGTCAAAATACAACATTATTTAAATGTAAATTGGAAACATAAGTTTAAATGCTAAAACTTAAGGAGAAATTAAGTGTCTTCTTCTTCTTCAGATGCAAATCCACTAATGGATGTTAGCGATCACATTTTCCATTAATTCTCTATTTCTTGCAATATGTATCAGAGATTGTATGTCGTTAATCCCTGTCCATTGCCTTATGTTTCGAAGCCAATTAAGTGTAATATATTATAAAACAAAGTACATACCTTCAAATTCCATATTCAGCAAGAAATTTTCTGATAATCCACCACACGACGACATACTAACAAAGAGAAATCTATAAAATAATCGAGAGCGCTGTCAACAATAACATGCATTATACACAAGTGCTGTGTTTTGAATAATTTCCAGGCGCGAGCGCTGATAAAATGGGGGAAGTGGGGTGCGCCCTGTATGAAGCGGTTAATGAACTTTATAAAACGTTAATTACTTGTCTCATTTGGTGAATTTTAGAAAAACTACTTATGACCGCTTTTTAGCATCAAATACCCCTTAGTGCGACTCTACAAGAGAAATGTACCAAAAGAGGCTAGCACAGAAGATACAGCTGAAACAAATTGACGACATCAAAGATATAAATGCGAGCTGAGAGAAACTTAAAAACAACATTGAAGAAGCAGCAACATAAGCTCTAGGAAAACAAAGACATACTGAACAAAACAAAGCAATAGGTAAGAAGAACAAAAAATGAACACTGGAAACAATTTACGTTCCCAGCGAAAAGGAAAATAATAATCAAGGTAAAGAGACGCATGGAGAAACAGCATAATGATACTAGTGTTCAAGAAATGAACACGTTACCCAAGCGTACCACAAAAGTCATAACCAGCAAAATCAATAAAATAATAACTTTATCAGATGAACTACAAGGATTCAGATCCGGAAAATTCTACTTAGACGCCGTATTTGTACTAAGACAAATCACAGAAAAGGTCATCGAGTACAATAAACCAAGCATATCTATGTTTTATAGTCCTGACAAAAGCATTCGATCGCATCCAACTCGAAGACGTCTTACACGTACTGTATAAATGAAACATACCGATCAATATTATAGAAACCATCAAAAACTTCCATAATCCAATACAGGCAAAGATAAATGGAAAACTAACACAGTGTACACCAGTACAAAGCGGAGTCAGACAGGGCGACTTCTTAAGTCCACTTCTCTTTAATATAATAATGGACGAAATAATACAAGCAGTACGTAAAGGCCATGGTTACAAAATGGGTAACAAAGAAATCCAAATATTATGTTATGCAGTCGACGCCGCATTAAATGCCCAGACAGGAGACGAGCTTCAAAGATTAATACACATCTTCGATACAACAGCCAAGAAATACAAATGTATGTATACAAACAGCAGAAAAAACCAAATGTATGACATTTAAATACCCACTACGATGTAAAATCGAAATTGATGGAAAACTAATAAAGACGAATATCAGGGAAAAGTCTGTTGGATAGGGAGAAGCGAAAACATAAGAAGAGCATGCAATATAGCAGACATAAATGGATGGGTGACAAAGCGGAAACAGGAGTGGAACAAACACATTAGTAGAATGGCAGACGATGGATAGTACGAATAGCACAAGATAAGTCACCAAATGGACAAAGAAGTAGTGGCAGACCAAGAAAAGGATGGTGCGATAATGTAAACAATTTAGGAAGCTAAAATTGAAGAAGAAACAAGCTTTAAAGTCATCATACAAGACGTAAGAAGAAGAAGAAGTTTTTACGTAAAATAATCAAAAATACTGTCGCAGTTCCTGATAATGCCTCTGTTTCGTTTTCGTCACGTATATACTCATCTTACACAATGGCATATTTTTGCCATTACTTATTGCTGGTTTTCACTTCTATTTGGTATTATAAACAACAGGAATATCTGATAATTTAGATATCAAAAAGTCAAAACATAAGGTTCACTCCTCGTAATACTTTTAAAATGATGTTTCCGAGTTTCCGAATTGCACAGCTTGTCACATCTTTGTCTCCACTCTCCCACGAATTTTTTAAACCGAGAGCAAAATATCGACGAACTACAACAGCACTCTCCTGGTAGGGAGTTTCGGATAATTTGCAGTTGATTCATATTCGACGGTCTCACATTTTGCATGACGAATGACGAATACCGAGGTTAAGACAAGGTTCATGGTTTTGTGTTATTATTGGAAAAGTTAAATTTAGGGTAAATCTTATATCACGGACGCCGTTTCTAATAGGGCGGAAATACAGGAATTCGGCTTCGCGTGTTGCCAAATGGAATTACGAAACTTAATCTTAGAACAAGAAAAACTGTAGAGTATACGTACAATCGTAACAACTATTAAAAAACTAAACTAAATAAGGTTATATTTCTTTCTGAACAACTTTTAAAAGTGAAAAGACAGTATCTAAAAAGGAATGAATGATTAAAAATACTGGGGCTCATGGTAAAATGAAAAACCCGCTAGAAACATATATACAACGTCACGCACAATAAATAAGAAAAGGGAAGAAAAGAGATGCCAAGAAAAAGTAATACGAAGAAGGAGATCAATTATGCAATTATGTTTTATTTCATAATGGAATGCACCCAAAATAAAAGAAATATTTTTTCTCGATTTATATATATATATATATATATATATATATATATATATATATATATATATATATATATATATATATATCGGACCTCTGTTGCAATACCACCACAACTCCGAAAAATTGAATTTTGGTTTTTTGGTCTAGAACATCTACAAAAACGTCAATTTATGTGGTGTAAATCTGTCACAAATCAAAATTCAATAAATGTCCACGGTATAATATAAAGTGTCTTTATGACAATTTAAAAATATTAAAATCACAACCTGCGGCACATTGCGGCTGTATTGCACAAGGAGATATCAGTCTAGTCGACTACAATACCGCCACATTTTACTTATGACTGTATTGCATCAGTCGTTTGGATTGTATTCAGTCTCATTTCAGTTTTGTTAGCGTGCACCTGTACTTTATTTTAGTGTTTTTCGGTGTTTTATAACCCATTGTTTAGTAAAGTACAGTGATTTTAGAAAAAAAATGAGTGGATATTCAAGAGGAAGAATAATGTTAAATCTTTTTTTTTTACAAGAAACTGCTTAATATAGGAGCCTTTTTTATATTACGCTAACCCGGTATCTATTTGAAACGCGTTTGTGTTATTAATTGTGTTATTAATTCTTATTCATTTCTAGTTTGCAGGATGTGGTCATAGAAAATATTGATAATAGCTCTAAGGTATTATTAGATGTAATTCAAGATTGTCCCTCCTCTGATTATAATTGTATGGATTCAGATATAGGAATCACAACAGAAACAGAATTGGGGGTGCCTATTTTTACATCGAACGACAGAGATATCCCAGATAATGATATAGTTGAGACATACGCTGAGATGTTATGGAAACCTATATTATCACCGGAACTAAAGTTAGCAAATACTGATTCTAATCATCAAGCGATTGATGATCCACATGTTGATTGTACGTTGGAACCTTTAGAATCAGAAAGGGAGTTATTAGATACTGATTCAGACAATCAAGCAAATGCTGATCACACATTGGAACCATTCACTTCAGAACAGGAATTGTCAATCACAAATTTGTTACCAGAAGAATCAGAACAAATTAAAACAGATAAGTTCATACTTTTATTTTTCACTCAATGCCATCTTATTATCCACAAGCTTTTGGATTTGTCTGTTTGACTTTATCGACTGCTGTTTCAGATGGTGTTAAAAGTGGAAAGAAGCGACTGTTGAACAAAGATCAGTGGACACGAAATATTAGAAAAAGACTTCGAAATATAGGCAAGGAATATACTAACGCAAAAGGTAATAATGTTTCTGCACGTTCTCTGAAACCACCATGTAATGACAAATGTTCTATGAAGTGTAGAGATAAATTATCTGACGTTGATAGGCAGATGTTACTGTGTCAATTCTTGCAAATTGGAGATGTAACACAACAAAGGTATTATTTGCAAGACCTTACATTACATTCAGACCTTACATGCAGAAGATTAACATCATCAAAGGTCTGAAAAACAGTATAAAAAGAATTTGTCACCCTTCTAACCACAATAAGAACATCAAGTTACTTTATGAGATTCTTAGAAAAAATCACTATCGTAAGATGCTTCTTAATAAACTGCTCTTCCAAGTTATGCCAACAGCAAGAACACACCAAAGACAAACATTAGAAGGAGAAACAGTAGAACTTTTCTATGGGAAATTGCCTTACATCAGGGGTTTATCACCACAGATCACAAACCTTTTAAGACAGTTCAACATAGTGATAGCAAATTCAGTGTACAAAAGATTAGGGACATACTTTACTCACCTGACAGAAAGAGTTAAAAAACTGGATAACTTCAATGTAGTGTATTCTATTCCATGTGGTTCTTGTTCGGAAGTGTATGTCGGTCAAACCAGCCAGAAACTCTTAAAAAGAATAGCTTTGCACAAGATTGATTTTGTGAGAAAGCTTACTAGTATAGCTTTTAGCCAACATATTAAGAATACTGAACACATTGCTAACTATGAAAATATGCAAGTACTAAAAAGGGTTGACAACCAATTTAAGAGAAATTTCATAGAAATGTGCTACATCCATAACTGTAGCTCTTCTATGAACTGTAAGAAAGATGTTGAAAATTTAAGTTGTATTTATTCTTTTTTGCTTCAGCAGGACTTGACAAGATGTAACAGATTGGAGAATGTAGGAAACTTATCATAACATACACAGATGACCTACCTGCACTTGAGAAAAGACTTCATTTCCCTGCTGATTTTGGTTCTTAAAAAATTCCTTCTAACTTTCATGAGGTGCAGATGTAAATATAACCTTGATACATATGACATCGCGATATTGACAGAAATCAGAAATATTGTCATCAAAAAAGAAGAGTAATTCTTGTTTTCTACCTTAACATGAATTTGCGGTTTTGGTGGGTTTTTAGATTTTAGATTTTTTTGTTGTGTTGTATTTGAAAAAATACCCTTTTGTGTTGTAATGTTGTGACAGTGTTCTTCACCACTATGACCAACTGAACATTTTCAATGTAGGTTTTTAGATGTTGATTTGAACCACTTGTACTAAACAGGTTTTCCATTTAGATGCTGATGAAGGTGACAGCCTATCACCGAAAATTTCACATTTAGAATAAAGTTCTACACCAAACTGGCTTATAACATCTCTAGCCGATCCTTGATTTGACGCTTTCCCGAAAGTTAA